CTTTCCCAATCACCTAACATTGCTCTCATATAATGACCAAAACAGCGATCTTCATATGATTTCGCCTTCACCCATTCATTTGCTTTTGTTTCAATATCAGCTGGAACAGGTGAAATGGAATTTGGACATGTGATTTTATCAGAATAATCAGCATTCAATTTGGATTCAAATTCACGAACGACGTTATTGGCCTCGGCTGAACCTAATTTTTTATAATAAACTATCTAATTTAGAACGAAGTTAAAAATTTACTGATTTGACTCCTTGGTGAAATTGACGTCATTGGTGAAGGCTGGTAAAGAGCCGGTAAATTTCTGCTGGCGTTGAATTCACTATCATTTCGACCAGACATTATGCTTTCAAAGATAAAGAAATCTGACTAACAACACATCTAACATTAAGTTATATATTTGACTTGGTTTAATATAGAACTTACGAACTAAGACGTTATAGAATACGGAGGTAGTTTTAACTCTTGGCGACCAATTTTATTCTTATAAAGAGAAAAGAAACCAATCCAATGTAAATTTTTCCGTTTTTATTATATTTTTTACCACGGAAGTGGTTGGAAAAAATTCTTCATTATTATTTCCGTTGAAACGTAAGGTAATTTTTCAGTTTCTCTCTTTTCCACAAATTCTGTAAAAATGCTCTTCTTCCTTTTCTCTACGAGGGAAATAGAGGGAGAAAGGAAGGAAAAATAACACTGAAGTAAAATCTCGCATCACTCAATGGGTTACTTTTATGAGTGGTAAAACATTTTAAAAATAACAAAATAGTACATTTCCATATGTAAAATATTAGTTTAAAAGTTCCTCTAAAATAATTGTTGAAAAGGGAGGAATAGTTAGTTTAAACAACATACATCCATCATTATGTTGTTTAACTATTACCTGTTGATTTTCAAATAAACCCGAACCCCCATATTTTGCATGATCAGTATTGAAAATTTCTGTTACATTCTGAATACGTGCTACATTAGGATCCGACTTTTGTAAATATATATCGTAAGTTTTAGAGCCACGATTTGAAAAATTATGAATAATAACAATTCTTCGATTATTGTAAATACCGCGATGATAAGCTATTACTAAATTTGGATCATATTCATAAATGCATGAAAGATCTAATTCACTATATTGCCAAAATTGTGGATGTTGAATATAAAGATGATTTAGATCACGAATACATTCTTGAATTTTTCCATGTAATGATGTTGAATTTGCTAATGACCAATCCATACTTGATAAATCTCGTCGAAAACATTGATACCAAGATACTGGTTGTACAACTTCATCTTCCATATGAATCATATGACCACGACTAGGTGCACATCGTTGTCAAGCAAAAAAAATTTCTTAAATCAGAAAATTTATCTATATCATTTCGAGCATGTGGTACACAACTGAATAGAATTTTATTACTATTACGTTCTCCCGAATCTGTATCATCATTACTTAATGTTAAAATCATTTTATCTGGTCCCCATCGAGACCAATTCAATGTATCCGATACGTTTTCTTTCAAATGTTGAGGTCGTTCAGCATACGGTGTACGAAGACGATTTCGTGCATCATGACTCCAACCAATATTCAATTTCAAATCAAAACCCATCGTTGTTGTTAGATTTAGATAACCTTCAGCTCCTTCTGTAATACATAAAACACCAGGATATTTCGTATGAATCATCTGATTAAGTTCATGTAAAAATGAAATTGTACTAGGCATATCTTTATGTTTACGTCGAATCATTTGACTAACAGCATCGAAACGAATTGCACCTATATGAAGTCGATCAAGATAATAAAATGCAGTAGCAAATAAAAGTCTTCGTGTTTCTTCGTTATCAAAATCAAAATGAAGTGTTCCCCATGGTGAAGAACTACTTGCATGTAAATTTGTTCCATCATATTCATGTAAAGACGTTGAATAGAAATGAAATTCATGCCAATGATGATAATGTGTTGGTATTCGATCAAGAATAACACCAATAATATTTTGATGTAAGAGATCAATAAGATATTTTAAATCATCACATGCTCCACTATGTCGATAAGGAGCAAAAAAATTCGATACTTGATAACCACGTCTACCTTGATGTGTATGTTCGAGAACTCCATACATTTCAACATGAGTAAAACCCATTTGTTGACAATATGAAACTAATTCAGCTGCAATTTGACGGAATTTTAATGGTTTATAGGTACTGTTTTTCCAAGATTTTGCCTGAATTTCATAGATCAATAAAGGAGATCGTACCTGATCAGCTTGAGAACGTTGTTTCATCCAATTTTGATCATTCCATTTGATAAGCTGTTTCATCATGAACAACGGAATGTACTTGATTCACTGTAGAAACATGAACAACAGAAAAACTAATAGGATCTGTTCGTAAAATCTGTCTTCCATGATAATCATCAATTAGATAGAGAAATGTTTGACGAAGTGGTGCTTTATCTGTAACAATTTCCCATAAATTTGCATTAGTTTTTCAATTTTTTATCGATGTTGTTCATTACCATAGGCTGTTAAAATTAGCCAAACATTTCTTGCATTAGGAGCCTATAAATAGAAACTTGTTGTTTCACTTTCTTTATGATATTGTGCACCACGAGATTCGTACAGTTTTGGATGAGTCATATTAATAATCTTTTCAAAACAAACTCCTAGAAATATGCTTTTGATAATTTGTTTAAAGGTGTAAATACTCCAATGTAATTTCGTTATTTAAATGACACATTTAGTAAAAGAAACAAGAACAATATTTACAAGAGAAAGAAATCTACCTATCGTGTTTTATTCTATGATTCATCATTTCGTAAGGTTATTTTTATTTCAAACAAAATGAAAATAATGAGGGTGTAGATGTGATTATCTTATGACCACATCCTCATTCTCACCCACATTCTGAGACACTCCCGACATGTTTTGTTGCCATACTTTTTCCCGTTTTCTCTATATGAGTTATGATCATGAAGTTCTTTCGTTCATTTCTTTTTGCGTGTTCTTCTCTTTTCCAACGTGGAAAAAAAACAATCACTATTTTAAATAGAAAAAAAAACTGCTAAAACTCATATTCTTCTCCATCTTGGTCGCAGTGTAAGACAAACAACATTTTAATACAATATGTCGACAAAGAAAATGACGTCACCAAATCAAATGCAAAAACAAGTCGAATGTGGTAAAGCACCGAAATCTATAGATCGTGTGGACGTAGGTAATCCTGATCAAGGTGATCGCTTACCTCATATTCATTTCAAAGATGGCCGACATGCTCTGTATAACGATGGAACTTGGAAACATGGAGGAAGAACTCTACATCGCGAGGAAATACAATGGTTAAATGATAATGGTTGGCCTTTACCGAAATAAAATGTTAAATTACTTTGCTTGAATGGATCGTTTTCATTTATTTATTCATCTTTATTATTATCCCAAAAAGGAGTTTCTTTTTCATGAAATGTTTTTATAAAAACAGTTCTTTCCAATAAAAAAAAACTTTAGGATGTGGATATGAGCAAGGATAACGGTTCATAGTGTCATTAGTTAAAATCAACTATCGTTCTTTTGTATCAATCTTAAGGAAAGTCTGAATGTTTTTCGAATGTCTCACTTGGAACACAGTTAATTTCTTTATTTTATATGTTGTTCCCTCGATTGAAAGGAGGGTCATGTCGAAAAAAGTGGTAATAAACGGAAATTCGTTTGTGTGTGTGTCTGTCGCTGGTCAAAAGTCAACGTTTAGTCATATGATGAAAACTCTATAAAACATGGTTTGGGAGAGCTGTTGAGAGTGGACGTTCGTTGGAGAAAGCATCGAGGTTAACGGTGATAGCGAAGGCGGCCGAAGGCCGTCTGAACGCTCGTAGAGAATTATCCACACGTAGTATACATTTATTGGTGTTGCAGTAGCTACAGGGAATCGGTGTAGTCGATCAATAGTGATGCAGGATTTGTAAAGATTGAGATCAATCTCGAGGGTGGATCAGAGTGAAAGGATGAGTGAATGAGAAGATATGATGTATAGGCTGACGTGTGACAGTGGCAATGAAATCTAAATGAACGACTGGAATGGAGAATAAATATCAGAGTAAAAGAAAATTAATCAAACTCTTATTGCAGAAATCAGATTCAGTAACGTCTTTGCATACAAAATACAACAGAAGCTACCGTGTTGCGCAGTGCAAGACCAGAAAGATAAGGAACGCAAGTGTAGAAATTTTAAGTATGTTGCTTTTCCTACCCAGTACAATTTCTCCGTATGTCATACGTTCGCCATAGATATTTCGTATTTGTCATCGGATACCCGTGCTAATGGCATATAATAAAAACGCCTAAATACTTGCCCCAAAACTCCTGCTTTAAGCAAAATCTCAACTATCGCTCAGAAAGCTTTTTAAAACCATTCCGCATCACAACCGAACGTCTCCGCAGTTCCAATCGCTCAACAGTCTGAACGAGTAATACCTGCATATTCATGAAAAACCCTCTCTTATACAACCGCTGCCTACTATGCCGGCCATCATCTCTTACAAATGCATGAGAAATAGCACAGATCTTGATTCGCATGGAACCAGACGGTCACTCATCGCTTCCATCTTACGACCTTCGATAAAGACTACTGCATGCAAAAGAATACCCTCAAGATAATTAAGAAAAACCAAAACTTCTTCCAATCTTAAAATCAACCCAATTCCAAAACACTCAAGCAGATTCCTACATATACACAATCAAAACTAAATCTTCATTCCTATCCACAGAGTAAAAGTACCGATCCTCCCAATCCCCCGCTTCCCGATTCCATCAGCACAGCAAATTCTTATTCAACGTTGAAGTGAAGCTTCTTTCACTTCATAAACGATGTAATAGCCAAAATCATGAGGCTCGATATCCAAACTTCATTCCCCTTATATGTAAAAACCTTCCACTTCAATCCTTCCAATAAATAACAAAATTCGATTTCACCATCAAATTCTCACGGCACCTATACACATACCGATGTCGACCAAATCTAACAACATACCCATGAGCCTTTCTCTGTCTGACAACATAATTTCCGAGCAGCACATCTCCTTTGTCACTGTGAAACGATATCTACAATCGATCGTAAAATCGACTTCCCAGTTAAGGGCGATAAGGATGATTAGAGAAGTGTAAACATCAATGAAACATGGTGTCATCAATAGATCATGTTTGATTAGAAGGTGTTAGTGTGATTTCAGTCCTACTTCTACGGATAAGTGTCGTGAAGCGAGCTGAATTAAACTCATTTAGGATGATTGAAAAATGTTTGTCTTTTTTCACATATAGGATGCAACGATGATGAAACAACTAATGAGGAAAATAACAACGAAGAACAGTTTCAAGTTTAACCGACGGAAGATGAAAAGAATTTTATTCTCGTCAGCACAGACATTGATTATCAATGTCGTTCAGACAATCTCGACAACACATGTTTATATGATTTTGTCAGTACACTTTACAAGAAAAAAATCAATGAAACAGATTTAAAACATTTATGGAAGTCTTCTACCACAGCTAAACGACAGGATAATCAAAGAGGTCGACCATCTAACGAACGTTTTTCTTTTCAAAAAGATCATCCTTAAACAGTAACACATCTACTCATGAAATATAGTGAAGTTCGTGTGCCTGTTCTTTATGGTCCCCAGATTCCTCGACAAGATCGTGATGATACTCGAAAACGGTACTATCGTGCATTTCTTACACTTTTTGTATCATGGCGCAATGTAATTGATCTTTACGACATCAATCAAACATGGGAAGATGCATTTGAATCTCGAAAAAATCTTATTTCTGTTCATGCATGGAAGATTATAGAGAATATTCAACTTTTACATGAATGTAAAAAAGACCGTGATGAACATCTACTTCAAGTTATTGCTGAGGCACAAGTTGCTAATGATTCGATTGATTCTGTATTATTACCATAAAATCAAGGCGCTGATGGTGAATACGAAGTAGATGACATCGACGATTTAATTCAATTAATAGGCAGTGTAGATGAATTCACAGCTGCTGCAATTAATGCCACGAAAAAATCAACAGAAAATGTTTATATTCGAGAAACTATCGAAGCAGTGGGAAAAGGTGGACTGTTTAATCATATGAATCGTAAGTGTGAATTATTTTATAGTCGATATCATTCAGAAAAAATATATGAACTGTTTTAGAACATGATCAACATGTTTCAAATACATCCATTGATCGACAAATTATACCGTTTATTTCCGCAACGCCTAATCTTATCAAACTTTATTCGAAGTGGCAAGATCAACTAAAGATTGAAAAGGATCGAATTAGACGCAGTTTAATTTCTGGTAAACATAACGAAGATGATGATATTTTGGATTTTAATGCTGTGACAGATGCTGTTGTAACAGTAATGAATCCATATAATAATCAAAACAATATGGAAAAATATTCATCAATTCCTCCAGTACTCGTACTTAAAAATAACTTCTCAACTCAAAATGATATCATTGACGAATTTACATCGAACAAAGAATAGAGAGCTGCATTCTTAATCATAACAAGTCATCTTGATGGTGATAGCCGATGCCGTAAAGGTATGTATTTTCATAAAAAGAATAATCATTTATTACAGCAAATAATCTATTTTAGGTGACAATAATGGTCAACTCATTATCTGTATACCTGGCTGTGGTGGAACAGGAAAATCACAATTGATTCGTGCTCTTACAAAATATTTTCTTGTCACAAAAAGAATACACATGATGCGGAAACTAGCACCTACTGGAATTGCAGCTGCTGAAATCGATGGCATGACAATTCATTAATTTTTAGGTGAACAACGCCACTCAGGAAAGCCACGTACCATCAAACCAGGTGATTCCAAACTTGACAAAGAATGGAGACCTGTCGAATATCTTTTAATTGATGAAATGAATATGGTTGGCTTAACTCTATTAGGATAACTCAATAGAATTATATGCGCTGCAAAACATGTCGATCCTCAAGTTCTATTTGGTGGCGTAAACGTAATCTTTTTTGGTGATTATTTACAATATCGGCCTGTCTACGATTCACCATTACATACTGACTTTTCATTATCATCAAAAAAGAAACAAGGGAAATCATTGTCTGGAAAAGAAATTCAACAACGTGTTGCACTTTCTTTAATTCTTCAAATGAATTGTGTGGTAAAATTAACACAACAGATGCGAACAGAAGATTTACGATATCTTCAATTACTTGATCGACTTCGTTATGGACAATGCAACTATGACGACTATGAATTATTGCAAACACGAGCTGTTGGACAACCATCAATCGAATCTTTACATGATTCGCCATGGAACAAGGTAAATCCATTTTTTCAATTAGAAAAGAAAAGTATTTTTGTCGTTTAAGGCACCCATCCTCGTGTTCCGAAATGAAATTCGAACACAAATAAATAACAAGGCAGCAATTCATAATGCAACACAAATTGGTCATCCACTGATGGTATGCGTCGCTCAAGATACGTGTAAAGGCAAAGCAATTGAAGAGCCAATACTGCTTAAAAAAATTATTAGAACTGTCTGACAGCAAGACAGAACATTTACCTGGGCTATTACCTTTTGTACCAGGCATGCCTGTCATTTTAACACAAAATATATTCGTCGACCAATATATGCTTTGATCGAGATTGTAAAATCGAAGATTGAATGCAAACTTCAAGATCTTGAATAAAAACTTATACCAATTCCACTGGTAGAACAAACTTTTCGAGTCGATGTTGCCGATATTTTTCCAAAAGATAAGAAACGAAAAAAAATCAAATCAAAAGACAATATTATCCATTAAACGTACTGCATTACCACTTGTACCTGCTTATTGTATTACAACGCATAAAAGTCAAGGTCAAACATTGAGCAAAGTGGTTATCGATTTAAAATTACCAAATGAAACGGATGATATTGCAGCAGTCTACGTGCCATTATCTCGTGTAAAACGTTTGGTCGATTTAGCTATTATACGACCATTTGATAATAAAGTTTTGCTGATGAAACCATCGAAATCTCAAGTTACCGAAATGGAAAGATTGGATCAGCTGTTTTTGAATACACGATCACGATTTCCGGAATGGTTTCAATGAATCATATATATAAGAATGCACTATCTTTTATTTCTATGTAATTTTATTATAAGATCATTTATCTTTCATTAATTGATGTAATTTCTACATTTTAATATTCTTTAAAATAAGATGGTGTCCCTTTCAGATTATGTAGGGGATATTTACCTAGATATTGTTTTTCTCTGTTCATTTTTCTTTGTTTTAATTGAATATCAAATAAATTTCTGTTATGAAGTTGATTAGCGAAATTTTGAAACGAACCTTCTCAACTTTTATTTGAATTAGAATGCTTTTTTAAATACCTACGATATGACTTCTCAGATGACAATGTGAATAAGAACTATGACGAGTAGATAATAATAATAATAGAATTCAAACTATTATGAATAATTTCAGCAAAAGAAATATTTTACTGTCAATCATTCAGTCGAGGGTTAAGCGAGTCTGCCTCGACGAGCGTTACTAGTACTGAAAATCTTTGTTTAATTTTATTTTATTTAAATAAGATGTTACACTTGAAACAGAAAGTAATAATTATTTAGTTAAAAATTTATTCATCCAAATCAAATCGCTTAATATTTCAGAACTACCATGCGCATTGTATTACTTAGTCATTTCTATAGAAAAAAACTAAATGAAACAATTGATTTACGAAAGTTTTATTGTAAACTATGTTTTAATACGCTAAGAAGTGAAGAACCTGATGCTGTGGAATCGTCAGATAGTAAAAGAATTGAATAGATATCTATTTTTTTTGTCAAAAAAAAGATTTCTTCGAGCCGTCGCCGCTGATGGGGTACACGACTTACATCTCTACTCATCCCTTTATCTAGATTTATGAAATAATCTGAGCTGTCCGCCATAATTCTAAGTTGATATGCAGTGTCTGCTAGATTTACTGTATGTTGTGCATTATCTGCTAAATATTCTGCTCGGTTTGTCGAGTCGGTCAGAAACTTGCAAACAGTCGAGAAATTTCGCAGACACATCGAAAAAAGAGAGGGTTTAACCCATTTCAGCCCTTCCCATACCGAGACTCTTGATTCAAATAATTTACAATCATTTTGTTGCATACGTGTATTGAAAACATAAATTAGAATTATCAACTAACGCTTTGTTAACCTTGAGACATTGTTGTATAAAATAGAAGATTCGGTTATATCAATAGATATACAGTATTCGATTTCAAAATAGATTTATTCTTTCTTTTTCTTTATATTCATTTACAATTCGAATTTTTTTATGAGATGTGGGCGACGAAGTTAAAATATGAACTATAGACCTATCTATTCGCCAGTCAACATAATTATCAGTACATCTAAAGAATAGAATATATTTATTAGTTTGAATAATTTTAAGTGGAAAAAGCAAGCAAGATTTAGATTTAATCGTCACAGACAGAATTCAAAACAACTCTAACGGCATTCGATTGTGTGTCAATAAAAATTAGATCATCTTCACCATCTTGATTTAAATCAACACTTTTCAATAATTTTGCACATGTTTTGCTATTGCTATTATTATTGATCTCAAAAGATAAATAATTTCGATCAAAAAAGCCATAATCTGTTAGAAAGACGGTGATTGCTCCATCACAATGTAGTATAGCTATATCATCCATTTGATCATCATTGAAATTCAGTCGAGCAACAGATGTTGGATCATGTCTTGTGAAATAAGACGTTTTAAGGAAAACATCAGTCTCAGTGTCAAGGCTCATACGTTTCGCATAGTAATGAATACGTAGTACGTTTAAGTCTGTATATATGGTAGCTTCATCATCCAGTGCATCGGGATCAAATCTACCTATAATTAATTCTGTTACATTAGAGACAAAACTTTCAGTGTCAAAACGAGTATAATTTGCTTTCCATATATTACAGAAAACTAATTTATGGAATATACGTATTCTGTTTTCTTGTTCCAGTAACAGTAAATCTTCTGTTTCTTGAGTAGAACTAAAGAAGCTTAACATTATTTCGACTATTACTCCTCGTTGGCTGGGAAGAATTAGACCAGTAACTACTGTATTGAATTCTACAAAATTACGACCATCATCAATATTTAACAACAAACTGAACCATTTAGATGGAGATGTTTTATCAGAATAACCAATAAGTATATCATCAAATCCATCATAGTTCCAATCGTAGACTCCAATTGCGCTAACATTTTTGTAAGGATAAGTGTGAGTTAAGTTGTACGGTGGTACAACGGATAGAACATTGTTTATGTCACCAAAATAAATCACAATTTCATTAGTTCCAGCTAGTACAATAACTAAAGGACATAAGATTTTCTTTAGTGCATAATTAATTTTACTTCATGAAACATCTTTTACAATAAACAAAAGCACAAATATATTCTGATTATTTTTGAACCTTTGCTAATTATGATAATCGAATAATATATATATATATATATATATATATAAACTTACCCAAATCCCACAATCCATCATCATTTAAATCACCAACTGCAAATTTTTGTGGGTTAGATTCGTTTCCCGTTGAATAAGACCGTTGTTTTTGGAACGTTCCATTTCCATTTCCTAACAAAATACTAAATGAATTCGAATCAGCATTGATAATTGCCAAATCTACATATGAATCCTGGTTAAAATCACGCATAACTAATGCTATAGGATTATGTTCAGTTGGATAAATTTCCTTTTGATGTTTGAATGTTTTAGAACAAACTTCTATGAGAAAAAAGGAATATTTTGAAAAGATTTCATTGTAATCTTTTAAACAGACTTAAAGTTGTTGATTCTATTCTTGTGTTTGTGGTACTTTTAAGAGATCTTGTGGCGGTTATTATGATCGCCTGTTGTTTTCCTTTGTTTTGAGTGATACAGAAATATGTTACACTTACTATTAGCGCAACTATACATATAATACTTGAACAGATGAGTAATTCTCGATGTCGACGTATTTCTTGCCTGAAATTAGTAGAAAACCATATATGTTAAGAAACTTTCTTGTCTATGTTACTTACAGAGTTCTTGAATCTTCCATAGAGCTTTCATTTAACTAAAAGAAAAACAGAAGTGGAAGAAAACTGAATGAGTTTTATTTACCTGATCTATTATTATTGGAGATTCTGGAATAACTTCAATAGTGTCAGATTGAACTACGTTTGGTACCATTTCAATCTTTTTCTTTCGATAGTCGATAGTTTTAAAAATTATGATTGATAAATATTTGACAACAAGATGCATTCCATTTAGTAAACCACCGAGTAATCCAAGTAAAAAAGTAACTACAGTAGTTTGCAAAAAAACTTGGCCTAAATTTGATTTTCGTATAGAGCGACATCTGTTGTGGATTTTAAACTTATTGGTACGCCTTTTTTATGAACGATTCCCTACTGTCTGAGGTTAAAATATCAATACAAAAATATTTTCTTACAGTTGTTTTGGATAACTTTTTCGTCAATTATATCCCCCATGGCTAATCTATCTAATGATCAAATCTCCATATTACATCATTGGAATAATAGTATACGATCAGCTCATTTTATCCATCATGAAACAAAGATTCCATTATCAACTGTTAAATATAACATTAAAAAACTGAAAGAAACGAAATCTCTTGAACATCGAGGTGGTAATGGCCGTCCATGTGTAATTAACAATGCAGACAGTAGAGCTATTGCTCAATATATTCGTCGAGATAATGAAACAACATTAAAAGAAATTCAAGAAAAACTGTCAGAAACACATCAAAGATCAGTATCCTTATCAACGATCAGTCGTTATCTACATAATCATGGTTATCGAAGTGTTTTACCTGTCAATACACCTATGCTAACGGTCGAACAGAAACAACGTCGTGTTCAATGGGCAAAAAAGCATCAAGCTGACGATTGGACTTGTACAATATTTACAGACGAATCCTCCTTTCAATTATTTAGAAATACGATTCGACGATGGTCAAAAAATCCTGAAATTGAAGTTAAACGAATTCCGAAAAATCGTCAAAAGGTTCACATATGGGGAGCAATCAGCATCAAAGGTGTTATTGGTTATCATACGTTTAGGATAAATCTCAATGGTATTTATTTCGTCGATATTCTTAAACATCATCTATTACCAGGTGCTAAAATGAAATTTAAACGGTGCTGGCGTCTTCAGCAGGATAATGATCCTAAACATACGAGTGGTGTTGCAAAAGAATTCATCAAGAACAATGTTCCTGAATTACTTGAATGGCCTGCAAACTCACCGGACTTAAACCCGATTGAAAATTATTGGAACGTAATCAAACGACGTGTTGAAAAAAGAAAACCTACAAATATTAATGATATGGAACAGTTTATGAACGAAGAAATCGAAAAAACGGACCCTAATTTTCTAATTAATTTTATAAATTCTATGAAAGATAGATGTTTGTCTGTTATTTCTTCTAATGGTGAAAGAATAAAATTTTGAAATATGGTCCTGTATACTAAATTTTTTACGCTTTCTGGCACTGTACTCACTTTTTTAAAAATATTATGTTTAGGTTGTACGGCAATAGAAATTCAGCGGCCAACTTTTTTTGCAAACCACTGTATATAGAGAAAATTATATCGTACATGATCAGAATATTGGCATATTGAAGGTTGACATCTATCAAAATATTTTTCAAATGATTTTATTTCAAACCATTCGACAACAAATAATTGATTTATAAGTTGTTTGATCGTTACATTTGGCATTGATAAAGATGAAGAGTGATTAAACAGAGGCTGAAGTAAAATTTGACCTTTGTCTGAATCTTCGAAATACACTGATAAAAACTTTACACACATTTGATCGTAAAAACATTTTAAATTGAATCGAAGCATTGCATCAAATATGCTGCAGCCCCTGTAAATTTTAGGAGCATATTTGAATAAATGAGGAAACTTTTCTTCAAAAAACCACCAATATACAACCGAATAATTTGGTTGTATTGCACACGAATAATTTGATAAATAATGAGTAACTGGTTTAGTTAATGCATCTACTATGATGTTATAAAAACCGTATTCACGAATATATTTGAAATGAAATTTCCAATTTGTTTGTTCTATTGTAGCGAATTCATTTCCGTAATTGATTGTTTGAATTAATTGAAATGTTTCTGTAAAGTCATGAGATAGTGTTGTTTTCAAATGTTCAAGAATTGTCTCCATGCGAATATCAAATGCATTATGTGATAAAACTTCAGGTGTAACAAACTGCGCTTCTTCGAAACTTGATAATGAAACATTCAACATGTTTCTTGAAAGTTTACATAATTCTGATATGAATTCAAAATTATTGAAGAAATATATTAAATCATCAGTCGGTATGAATGGCTTTGATATATAATTATATATTATGGTGTACCATTCATCTGATACATAATAACTGGAACAAATTTCATGATACTGCGGTTTCAATTGAGTAATAAACGTCTTATATTTATTTGCCATACGAGTACAAGGACATTTGAGTATCGAAGCATATTGAGTTGAGAGTTGTTCATATTGGAATATCGTTGGATTTTGAATTGTAATTGTAACTGTTTCTTTTTTCAATGTTATGTAAAATATTAAAACGAGAAATGTTGTTAATAGGATAATTAAATAAAATCGAGTTGTTTGTCGATTTCTTTAAATAATTTTTCGATTGTCTAAAGCAGGAATTGAAGAGAAAAGATTCAACTCAATTAGAGTTTGTTTCAGAAATATGAAAAATACACGAAGACGATATGCATATGTAACTTGTTCTTCTGTATTGTTATTACGAATATAATGATATAATCTATAAATTGATTTAATGATTAATGGTGATAAAAGTCGAAAAACAATATTGAGTCCACCGATAAGTCCAAGAAATGTTGTTAGAATATAAATAAAACTCAATCGAGTTTCATAACTATAATAACATACTAATGGATGACATTTATTAAAATATGAATCAAATAATGTTTCATTAAACCAAAATTGAACAAATAATTGATTTGCTAAAGTGTGAATTGTATCTTTTGAACAATTGAACGAACTTACTAACGAAGAATTAAGTATTGAAAAACCATGTGGTGAATGAGCATATGATAAAAGTTGAGAAACACATGTTTGATTATAAAAACATTCTAATCTTGAAATCAATACACTTTCATAAGGAAACGAACCAACATGCATTCCCGGAATAATCGTACGATTAGTGTCACTTAGTTTTATTTCCGAATACGCGTAACATCTGGTATCAGAGGTAGGACAAGTACACGTACACAAAGTACACGTACAAGTACTTGTACGTGCATGGATATACCTGTACTTCTACTTGTACTTGCCAGAAAAAACTTGTACTTGTACTTGTACTTCTAGTGGAGTACTTTATACCTGTATTTCAACCTCCGAAGTGATACAAAAATAGACCAATGGGATTACAGGATTCATTTGCCCATTTTCTTCACTATTCTCAAAGATAAGCCCTTGGTTACCTGTACCAATGTTGGGGTAATCGAGTACGGTCTATCATTCTAGTATAGGTAACCATGGGTTTTCCCTTGAAAATAGGCGAGAAACCACTGTCTATGCTCGGATTGGTCGATTTCGGCCAATCAGCGATGACCGCGATTTTTTTTCAAAAACTTATTTTCACTGGAATTCGACTAGAGGGCCTTATGTAAGCACGTTTTTTTGACCTCCAGAGATCTGCATTGGTTGTTTATTTCCTTTCAAGGGGGCAGTATTTTACTCCAGTTGTGCGATATTAACGGTTAACGGGTTGCCGTTGACATTAATTTCAAATTAACGGAAATGGTCCACCCCTACTTCGGAGGTTGAAATACAGGTATAAAGTACTCTACTAGAAGTACAAGTACAAGTATTTTCTGGCAAGTACAAGTACTCTGAGCTAAGTACAAGTATTTCTACGTTGTACTTGAAAAGTACAAAAAGTACAAGTACATGTACTTGCGTCCTACCTCTGCTACTAATCCTCAACTAAACCATGCCACTATGTCACACACTAGAGTGAATAGAAAACAGAGATTGTTCTTTTTCAGGAACCGAACCGATTAGCCATTTGTCAGTGAGTAATTCTCGAGAACTAACTGTGTTGACTGAAAACGCCATCCCCCAGTGGCTAGTCGCTCGTCAACCTCCCTCCGGTCGGCCACTCACCTTTTCATCTGCTCCTCTATTTTCACATTACTCGCATGAAAATTTTACTCATTAGCCTGTCTCTTTTAGCAAAAAATTGACTCTTTTCTCTGCTTTCAACAAAATAATGCATTCTCCAATATTTTCATTGAGGAATATACATTTGCCAAATCCTTTTCAAAAATCGTTGAAGCCTGATAAGGCTATTCCAAGTGTACACTTTAAGATTAATCTGGAATTTAAACGCCAAGTCGTTCGTCGGTCTCCTTCCGGTCGGCCACTCACGGCTAGCCGTTGGCACATATACGATTAGTTTCCCATTTTCACACCGAACAGTTGACCCGCTCATAATTGATCGGTTTCTCATCCGAGATATTGAAACTTTACATAACAAGTAACGCGACCTAGTAGCCGCTAAACCCTCTACTGAAAGGATAGTATTAGAGCGCTACTATTCGTCCAAAGAGAGAAAAAAGTTATTGCAGTTGAACGATCTGATCATTTGATAATTTGTCAGTATGTTTTACCTAGAACAATTTCGCTTCTGAAATCTTCTGAAATTATAACGCCTAGTCGTTTGTCGGTCTCTCTCCGGTCAACCACTCAGCACTAGCCGTTGGTACCTAATAAGTGTTTAATGGTATTTTCATATTAAAAAGTACCTAGTTTTTGTTGAGTCCGTCTCTAGCAATGTTCCCTAAATTCTTCACAACTTCGTGATCTACAGTATATCTTTTATTATCATTTTTAGTTGAATGAGTTGGTAATTTACATAGTTTTTTCTCGAAGCTCGAAAAGATGTCATATATATATATCTTAGAAAAATTATGGACACTTTGCGAGAGTCTTATAAATCTCACTTTTCAACTAATTTTCAAAAGAAACACCTGGTCGGTCGGCCACTCACGGCTAGCTGTTCCCATGCGTACTCATTTTACTATCTTAACTTAACTCGGATGAAGACGCGTTCCGAAAATGAGCACATTTCGGAAAATCAATTCATAATCAAAAACTTAGAAGCTTTACATAGCTATATGATTCTCTGGAAAAGATTTCAATCTTCCCTCCACCACGAGGAACCTTAAATAGCTGCCAGCTATGTTCGTGCAGAGTAACGATTAATTTCTGACCAAGAAATCTTAAAGCTCTATAAAAATCACAAAGTTTGTTCTTAAAAATATTATTCTGCAAATCGACGACTAGTCGCTCGTCGACCTCCCTCCAGTCGGCCACTCGCGGCTAGCCGTTACATGTACATTTTCACTCTTCCATTTAGTCTAGAGTCACTTTTGAAACTAATTCATTCATTCTCCTCTATTCCTTCTTTAAAGGCACCCTCTTTGTGCTACTGTGACTGTCGAAGACAACACGTGACAAGCGAAACATTGTTTTTCCCTTTTCTGAAAGAAAGGGTTGTAGCGTCATAAATCGGGTCGTTTAAATGCAAAAAGTTTGCTTGCTTGCTTGTTTGTTTGCGTAATCCAATCAAATTGCAGCATTTTATAAATCAATGAAATTCATCGATTGTTGTTAGAAAATGATTACCGGTAGGGTAATCGAGGTCGGTGAACTTGAATCCGATGTTGGATTTAACTAATTATTAACTATTAATCAACTAGCTGTCAACTAGACATAAATTATTAATATGCAGGGTAAGGGTTGACCGAAGGGTAATCGGGGTCGGGGATATCGAATCNGTTGTGCGATATTAACGGTTAACGGGTTGCCGTTGACGTTAATTTCAAATTAACGGAAATGGTCCACCCCTACTTCGGAGGTTGAAATACAGGTATAAAGTACTCTACTAGAAGTACAAGTACAAGTATTTTCTGGCAAGTACAAGTACAAGTACAAGTACTCTGAGCTAAGTACAAGTATTTCTACGTTGTACTTGAAAAGTACAAAAAGTACAAGTACATGTATTTGCATCCTACCTCTGTAAAAGATTATGAATGAGAGAAAAATGAAGATTTGTTTTCTCTCCAATTAATCCATAATCGAAATTGAGATATTCAATAGTTGATTGGTAATTATGAATATCGTCTAAAATTTCCAATTTAAAATTATCTGGAGCTTTGTTGGGTAATTTTGAATAATTGCCAGATTTATTCATGATTAGACGAATATGATGTCGATATGCTCGCTTTTTGTACTTCAATTTATATAGTCTAGTGCTATATTTCATATTCTTGCGAAATTCTCTCTGTTCTTCTTTTTTTTTATGAGGCATATGCGATAAGAAAAAAGAATTATCGTGCGTCATGTATAATAAATCGAAGGAAGAAGGGCTTTTATTATGTCGCAAGATTGAGTCGGAATGAGAATACAAGAGTTCTTCTGACTTCTATCTTTAAAACAAACAAATAAAACTACATGTTCAAAAAAAAATACCAAAATTGTCTCTTTATTAACATTTTGAATCTTACTGCCAAATATATAGTGTATTATCAGTACCAGCATAAGTTGTTTTCAAATCGTGTGAAAATTTTTCTGATTTATTCAATCGATTTAAATGACGGAAGTAAGATTCTTCTACTAATAAAAAGCTTAATAAAATTAAAGGGCGAGTATATTCATTATTTTTGTTCAATAGATGTTCTAATATCAATTTGAAGAAAGTTTTTCTAATACACATTCTTGTTGAACACTAAGCTTTTGGGCATTAGGATAATTCGTCCCCGTGATAGTATTACTAACTGGCAGCGTTACATATGTAATTGAATTAGTAGGAAAATCACTATCACCAACAATCTCGTTAGTGAAAATAAGTGGAACCTGATAATCTAATGATATTGTGAGCGAAAAGTATGGATTATTGGAAAACTTAATACAGAGTGTTTGTAAAGTACCAAAATATAAAATACTGATTTTAAATACTAATAAATGCGGAAACTTCGGATTTTATCCGAAAGTTATGTGTACTTCAAAAAGTAAAGACGATGACAGATTGATTTTAATGAATTTATCTAAAATAAATCATCCTTGAGCGCACTAAGGAACTACCCCTTAGGCCCTGCGGATGCTCTCTTTTTGTCCCGTAGGACGTGGCGAGAAGTTAGTTCCACCGAGGTAATTACTTGCATCACCGGAAAATTTGTTTTAATGATTCTCTATATCTTTAATGAAAGTATCTCTGTTTTATAAAGACATGTTTATTAGGTCAAAATGCGGTACAAGCTGAGGAGGATTATGTTGAAAAGGTAATAGAGCATCATAATGTGTACCGGTATAATAAACACAAAGTCCTATTTTGTTTCTGTCTGATTCATATCCAAGGTATATTAAATGACCACCGGCTGTTTTCTGATTAAATCGATCGATTAATTCCTGCAGACTAATATTTGATGGAATAAAATGCATGTTATCTTTATGTGCTTTTTTATTAAACTTGAAATATGCATATATAGGACGAGATAGTGCTACAGACAGAGCTTGAATTTGCACTTCCCCTCCCCATACTCTATGTGTAGCAGTGTTTTGTAGCTGCACTTCAAATGAATTTCCCAGTATATTACAAAGTGTTTGGAAATAATCTTTATTTTGGATCATTGCATTAATTGCCAAGAATCTCATCGAATGTGTTAGTTTCTCTGAGCCAACATTTAATATCGAAAGAGAACTATATAAACAATTTCCATCTTCGGTCGTACGTGTTCGAGCATAAACTGAATCAAATGCTTGAACAGAATATTCTGATCTTGTTTCTAACCGCACAGATTTATCTTTCTTTTGTCATAGTTATAAACGGTGATTTTTCAATTAAATCAACGACTACTCGAGCATGACTTGAAATTTAGTTAGCGTCGATAATATTATCAAAACCAAATGTAAAAAGAAAACGATCAAGAATTTTCCTTGAAGTGGAATCAATGATTTCAAACGTCTCTGAAGAAGAGTTTTCTTCAATTACCATCATCAATATCAAAAGACGTGTTTGTACGAACATCTTCGGTTTCATTAAGATGAACCTTAGTCAAAACTTTGTGTTCGCTCATCCATATTGGTTTGTGAAAACTTGTTTAGCTTTCAAAATAATCAGATTTGAAGCCATTCACATTAGTGAAACAATAATCAATCTGTGTTTTGGCATTAGTCGAACTTTCATTTAATTTATTAATTAAAGTGAGTCCGAATGATTCCATATATTTGATCAATTTATGATTGGTTTTGATCTTCAAATCTAAATTGAAGTCACCAACAACAACTATACTTTCACAAACTCGTTGAGAAATAGGAATAACTTCGTCAATATGTCGTTTTAGGACACTGAATGATGAATTTGGCGAATTATAAACAGAAACTACACAAATATCACCAACTTTTATTGAAGAATATTCAATATGGTCTTTGCCTGAATATTCATATCTTTCGGTGATAGTTTCGTACTGTAAATCATCTTTTAAATAGATGACTTGACCGAATGGTTTTCGTACATCATGACAATCACGTCTGTGGACTATCTTAAAACCTTCAATTTCTAAATTGTCACTAGATTTTGTCCATGTTTCAACAAGACTTATCATGGAAGCAGGCAAAAAAGATTTATCAGATTTGACATCTAAAAAATGCTTATTCAACGATTGCACATTATGAAACATCATGTAAAAACTTTCCCCTTTAGATGCCTCGGGAAATTCAAGTGCAAATTTCAGCATTCGCTCTGATCTCATGGTTTTGAACATCATTGCCACGGCATCATTTCGTTCAGGTGGTTTTGGCGGAACGAATTCTCCAATTAAATACTAACCACTTGCTTTTGTTGCACCACTACAAGCAACATACAATTCAGATCTAATCATTCCCTTCTTCAAATTGACAACAACCTTCTCGTAAGTACCACCTTGACTTTTGTATATGGTCATAGCTTCACAAGGTACTATGGGAAACTGTTTGCGTTCTACTTTGAAGTTTGTTGACTTCGTATTTATTTGACGTATTACTGGTTCAATTGGTGTAAGACTAGAATCAATATTTCTATTACGCATTACATTGTGAAAATTGGCTCTAGCTTTCCGTCCAGTTTTTTCTTCATTGAATTTAATCCATATTCGACATGGTACTGTTTCATTAGTTTTCTGAAGTTTTCCGTAATCAATCATCACTAACTTTCCACAAGCACCATTGACTAATCCATCTTCAGTATCAGAATTGACTGTCAACATATACTTAGCACCCACTTTCAAATCGATTCTAAGTAGTAAGCCATAAGTTTCAGTTATTTTCAGATTCTTTACATTGTTCAACACTTTTTCTTTCAATGATGCAAGTCCATCACCTATACAGAAGTCATATGCATTGGCAGTTGCACCTTCGGTGTTAAGACTAGCCAATACTTTTGTATTGTATGCATCAACTTCAGCATTACTTCTAAATATTCTTATAGAATCTTCAACAATTTCTAGACTTTCAGTAGAAACAATTCGTGACTTTAACAGATGAATATCTTCATCTGTCATTGTTCCTTTAGCTATATTACTTAATGCAATGGCAAAAGTCTTATCATCCTTTTGTCTCACAATTTCTGTTAATTCAAACAATTCAAATAATGACCATAATGGGCTATCTACTAAGGCATTGTATGAACTATTAAACTGAAATATGTATTTATCACCAACTGGTCTTAATTGATTGAAGTCGCCTAGAACTAAGACTGATATTCCACCAAATGGCTTCTTTGTTCTCATTATTTGTTGCAAACAGTGATGTGCGGGGCAGCTATTTTGAATGCCCCGCGGGACCCGACCCGCAACACTCGCTGGTCCGCTCCGCCCGTCCCGTCAATTATTTTTCCTGCACCTTCCCCGCCCCGCTCCGTCCCGCTCATATTCTTACCCGTACCGCCCGTCCCGTTTAACCGTCATAGCTTCCCCGCCCCCCCCCGCCTCGCCCGGGGGTGAAATGTTGGGGCCCGGGCCCGCCCCGTGGAACCCGCCAGA